TGGCGATACACCCCTTAACTATACCCTTAGCTACATAATTCATTTATTTATTCTCCTGACTCTCCGCGTTAAAATTAGTAATATCATAAAAAATTTCTCTCCCCTCTTCTCTACCTTCCTAAAACTATCTTCCCAAACGAAAATTATTTCAACAAAAACATCGTAGCAGCTGTTGTCTCCGCCAACAAATTTTCCTTCCAACCGCTGCAACTTTTATCTATCCATTTTTTGTTGCCCTCATAAATTCGAAGTAGTTTCGTTATCTGATAATCGAGAGATGAACGAACGTTTCCCAATACGGAAAAAAGAATGAAGAGATAGGGAGTCGAAGAGAATCGGTGCAGTCGAAGAAAAGAAAACAAAAGGAGAGGCAGGAAACGTAGATACGTTCGAGACGAGTTCGGTTTTAATCACGGTTCCGGTTGTTCCCGTTACGACTATCGTTTCATTATGAAATTTCCTCGGTTCTTAGACGTATAGTAAACCGAAACGCTTCGACGCAATTATCTTGCCGCTTACGTACGAGTCGAACACAATACTCGACTTATCGGGAAAGGTCGAACATCCCAGTTACATTTACTACATAGATAAATTATCATTGAAACCAATGTTGTGGCTGCATTTCCAATTGCGCCTGCATCTTATCGCCGAACACGAGTTCGATTATTGATTGAGTTTCGCTCGAATCAGAATACGTTCACTTCCTGCATCGCCTATAAGGAATTAGAACGCTAACAGGATTTTATACTTTTTTAAAATACATTCGCTTTTTATATTCTTATGAAACTTATTATAACTCGAAACTTCTTTAATTTCTTTAACTCGGGAATAATAATTAGATAATTAGCTATAGTGCTGCTTAATAATTAATTCTGCATAGCTACATTTCTTTCGAATAAGAATTAAATTATTGTTCAATTTTAAACGAAAAATGTAGTTTGATTTTTAACACAATAGAGATTGAAATTCTTGTCTCGTAACAATTGGTTCAACTTGAGTTGCTATAAATAATCACGACCGACGTTTTAATTTCTCCACAAGATTTTTCCAAGTAACTGTCCCTGCGTCGAGACCAATTAAAGGGGCGTCGTAACTGACAGTCAAATTCTTCGTCGCGACCAGTAAGCTGACGCTTGACTTTCTATTAGTGGCACAATGAGAACGTGGTTTTTTGGGGATGCAGCATCTGTTCGAGCTCAAGTAGCCACACGAGGGGTGGCGATAGTGTGTTTCAGAGTCGAGGGGCGAGGAAAGTTGGAGCCCGACTCGACTTCCGTCTTTGCGACGGGGTCACGAGTGTCGAAGATTGAGACGTCCTTTAGAACCTCTAATAAGGGATGAAGCCCGTGGAGAGTGGACCAATGAGTCGGAAATTCCCATGGATCGTGCGAACCCCGCTGAAACGATTAACGAAACGTAAACAGGAGATACCTCCACTAAAATGAACCAGGCTTTTAAATAAATCTTCACATACGGTAATAATATCAGATAAAACTCTGTTGATTACTGCGGTATTTATTATTAGCTTTGTTTTACGAATTTAATTATTGTGATCCTTTGTTGCATTGCAAACTGAAAGATTCAAACCGTCTGTCTCTCAACACTCTTGATAAATAGATGAGTTAATTTATATTCACTCATCAAGCTTAAAAGTATTAAAAACTGACTGTGCTAGGTTTAATAAAAATCTATTTATTAATTCTTCATTTAACTCTAACTCAATGTATTAACTTGTCAAGCAAAACTATTTTCAATGTCTTTCCAATAAATTTCCAACAACATTGTTATTTTAAAAGAACGCAGACATCGAGTCGTTGAAAATCTGTGTGGAGATGAAAGTATGCGATCGGTTTAAATGTTGAAATCATTATACGCCGCGTGCTTTATAATTAAGTCAAGCAAGCTCTGATTACGCGATACGAGGAACGATCGTGTGCAATATCGACTAATTTCGCGCTGTCGAAGCCGAGGCCCTTCGAGGCGTCCGTACAATACCCTTAAGAGATCATTAATTTACTTTCTCGTATTCTCTGTTCTCGTTATTTCAATTACTCTTCGCGTTCCCCGACGCGAAACCGTGGAAGAAGGAATAATATTCTGGCGACGAGAATCGACGCGTTTACGCGTGCTTCATGCTGAAAATTTCCTGAATGCCGTTGAAATCCTGTTACGATAATATGCAAAAATTGTTGAAGAATGCGGAACAAAATTCTTTGGATGAAGTTCTAATACAATCGAATTTCAATTGTTTCTTATGCAGACAGAATTTTATTGAATTGAAACTTGATTGCCGAATGTCAAGAAAAATGTCTTAAAAAATGGAGGAATGTACGAACTAGAGAAGCTAGAAAAAACCGAGGAGCAAAAGAAAGTTGCGAGGAATGAAAAAGCACAGCAGAGAGGGTGTTCGAAGGCGTTGTTCAGTGGTTCTCAGGCAAGGAGAAACGAAGCGAAGAAAGGAGAAAAAGGTAGCTCGAGCAGAGAAAGCCATATCGTTAGTATTCTTTATAGGAGCGCCGTGGGATATGGTGTACATAATGGAGGCCCAGCTAGCGTCTCTTCTTTTGAAGCCGCGTCGGCCGATCTCTTGTTTATGTATGAGCGGGCGCGGACCACACCCGCACACAGCGGATCCACGCACAGTGGGTAACGCACCACCACCCGTTCGCGTCCGTGTCGTCGCGACGCTATCAGAGACTAACCAAGCACCCCGAAGCTGTCCCAGGCCGGGTACCTCGTGGTTTTCACGACGAACAGACGACACAGAAACGCGTCGACGAACAGAGAACGAGAGGAACACATTCACAGGAACCGACAACGCTCGCTGCTGTCGGCCGCTGTAAAAGCAATCTTCCGTCAGTCTTCTTCCTTCTACCGAGAATACGTTATCAGCGGACCTCCGCGGTCTCCCTCCCTGCGCCCTCGACTTTTTCCCTACCCGCGCTGTCTACGACTTTTCCGCCGTGGACGACTTCGAAATTCCTTATTTCTATGCTGACACATGCGGTACGGCGCAGACGAGCGCTTTGAAAAATCGCTGGATCACGAGGCAGCTCGCGACATTTCACGCTTTCGACGCCTTTTATTTTCGTTCTTTCTCTTTGGACGTTCCGAACGGTAACTATTATCGTCGTCTTTCTTTGGAAGGATCACGGTGGTCTTTGTCCCCTCGAGCTTCTCTCGATACGAGAGAACAGATTTGGTAATTTTCTTGCGCCGATCCGCGAACTCTTTGTCATTCTAATGGCCGAGCGGTATCGTGTAACGAATTCTGAATACAAGCTTTCTGTCGATTCGATTGTTTACGTAATTATACCGAAACGCCCTGTAGATAATCTTAACGCGTTAACGTTTTAAATCGCGTTAAACAGACTTCATTTGTTCCTCCCAACTATTAAATCGAGAACAATGAGCTCATTTCCTGTTTAACAAAACAAATAGGATTAACGATCACGCGATAATCGCGTAAGAACCACAGGCGTCAATTAAAATCTACAAAGAAATAGAAAGAGAGGAGGAAATCTTGGTGCGGTCACGGTGAAGTAGTTCGCATTACGTAAAAATGCTTTTTACGACGTTCGATACGAATAGACAACAAACGCGAGTTCCATCGTTGTTCGTTTTACAAACGCGTTGCATCAATCGACTTATCTCCGCGCGATTTGTCGGAAGATTCACAGCCGCGTGCATGATACGTTCTATTTCTACTTCTTTTATTTTTCTTGGACGTTGATGAAAGCACGCAATGGCGCCTACTGTCAGCCTATCAATCAACCAGCGAGAGATTACGCTTCCAGAAATCGTGTCGTGGTCGTTCATTGTTGAAGCTTCAATGGAGTCGTGAGTAAAGTTTGATGTCGAAACCAAATTTTTTATTTAACTAGTAAGTTGTTTTTGTCCTGCAAGTAAGTTGTTTTAATCTTAACTTGTATGTACAACTTTTTATCGAACACCAAGAGTATGCCCGAAGTAATCTTGATTTTTGCTGATCCATCAAACGAAGGTTAAGGTTATCTTCACTACAATATACAGTTGTGCACGAGCTCCCGAACGATATCGATTTTTATACGCAGTATTTAAATTCACAGAATTTGACAATATATTATCGGTGACGCGTGATTATACAATTACTTCTGTTTTAAACAGAAAGCCCATTGCGAACCAATGCGATCCGCGTAAAAGCTATAAATTACTCACTCGTTTCAAGATCACCCAATACATTCAAGTAACACCGTGTATCGTTCATGGTAATGAAAAATGTGACCAATTGATAGCGTACAATCGATTGCGCGAATGGCGAGAAGAGTGACCTGACCTTTCGCCGATGAAACATAGACAAACTGTACTTTTCCTTCAACCACAGGAACCAGATTTCGATCTCTACATGCGTTTCCTTTTACGATTCGAACATTTAATTGTGTTTATGACAGAAGTGAATGGTATTGTTAGATGGTATAATATGTTACAAGGTAAAGATTCAAGGAATAGAATTGTTGATAGAATTGATACATGTTATCATATATGTATGCAAGAACTTATGTTTTAAACTTCTATATTTCTCGAAACTCATAACCTATTTCTTCAAGCCTTTCTAATTCGTCCAAAAACAAAATGGAAGAACCAGAACTATTCAGAAATTATTCTTTTCATCGCTCTAAAATTATCAGTAAGTTACTCCATCCACCTGATCCATCAAAAAAAAAAAAAAAAAATTGTTTTAATCTTAACTTGTATGTACAACTTTTTATCGAACACCAAGAGTATGCCCGAAGTAATCTTGATTTTTGCTGATCCATCAAACGAAGGTTAAGGTTATCTTCACTACAATATACAGTTGTGCACGAGCTCCCGAACGATATCGATTTTTATACGCAGTATTTAAATTCACAGAATTTGACAATATATTATCGGTGACGCGTGATTATACAATTACTTCTGTTTTAAACAGAAAGCCCATTGCGAACCAATGCGATCCGCGTAAAAGCTATAAATTACTCACTCGTTTCAAGATCACCCAATACATTCAAGTAACACCGTGTATCGTTCATGGTAATGAAAAATGTGACCAATTGATAGCGTACAATCGATTGCGCGAATGGCGAGAAGAGTGACCTGACCTTTCGCCGATGAAACATAGACAAACTGTACTTTTCCTTCAACCACAGGAACCAGATTTCGATCTCTACATGCGTTTCCTTTTACGATTCGAACATTTAATTGTGTTTATGACAGAAGTGAATGGTATTGTTAGATGGTATAATATGTTACAAGGTAAAGATTCAAGGAATAGAATTGTTGATAGAATTGATACATGTTATCATATATGTATGCAAGAACTTATGTTTTAAACTTCTATATTTCTCGAAACTCATAACCTATTTCTTCAAGCCTTTCTAATTCGTCCAAAAACAAAATGGAAGAACCAGAACTATTCAGAAATTATTCTTTTCATCGCTCTAAAATTATCAGTAAGTTACTCCATCCACCTGATCCATAAAAAAAAAAAAAAAAAAATGAAAGAATATTATAATACAATAGAAAATTGTTTCCATCGTTCCAGGCCCATCCTCGTTACTCCGAGAGTATACTAACCCGTTAAAGAAGAGTGAAAAAGAGAACGAAAGTGTGTCGCAACGCATCGAGCTCATTAGGTTACCAAAGAGACGATTTGCTCGGAGCGTAAAGACGGATCGGATCGCGGAGGAACAATTGGTCTCGCGGGCATCGGTATGCGGAGCCACGAAATCGTGCGAGTGGCGAAGAAAGAAACGGCATTGGGACACGTTGAACAAAAGTGAAGGAAACCGACTAAAGCTCGAGGGAGGCAGGGAAAGAAGGGCGAGCAAGAAGAGACCGGAGGGTCTTCTGGCCGAGTGTGGGCTCGAGAAGTGGGGCCATGTGTTCAGTGTCAAGTTGCTCGAATCTTAGCCCGGTTGCCTCCTGTCCTCTGTACCAGCTCAGCTTCTTCCTCTTCTTATTCTTCTTCGCTCGTGTTCCTCGCGTACAATAGGAACGAAAAACTCCAAATTGGATGAAAGAAAATTTTGTCCAAATAATTTCTGCAAGCTCCGGGTCTCTAAATTCTTTGATAGTTTCGAAAACAGACTTACGAGGCGCGTAAGCGAAACGCAAGGTACAGTAGGAGGGTAAATATACAAAAACAATCGAACGGAAATACTTAAGCGCGAAACGACTCCACGTGCAACGGAGAAAGGGGAGAGAGGCGAGGGGAGGTGGACGCGTTGACGGTGAAACGACAAGGGAAAGAGAACGGGAGAAGAAAATTTTAGGCATTGCGAGAGAGCATCGATGGGAACAAAGCGGACAGCATCTGGAACGCGTTAGTATTCTCCGTAACAACCGCCCCCGTCTTTTCGGTGTTCCCGGCAGCACCCACACGCCGTGCCTGCACCCACGAGACCGATTCGAACAGAGAAGGAAAATTCATCGCTGTCGAAACAGCCACGTGCGTGCTACTCCACCGAATATGTTCTCTCGTTCATTCGTTTCAATGTTACAGGAACAATCGACGTATCGATGAATTTGGGGAAATATTAATTTATAACGAACCCATTTTGTATCTTAGACTCACTCATAGTCTAACCATAATTTTAACCCAACCTTGATCTAACTCAACATAATCTGATTTCGTCGTACTCAGATAAAATTATAGGATCGTAACATCCATAACCTAACTCAAATTTAACCCTGATCTCAATTTAACCTACTCTAACCTGTCTAATATGGTCTAAATCTAATGTACATCTGAATGTAACCTTCACTGTAATTCTAACTTAATGTTCCTACGTTGATAAGAACGTAATTAAACGTCAAGAAAGAGACATTTAAATAAAATAGATCTTCAGGAAGATCTTTTGGGGTATAAGAAAGTCAAAAACATTTATAAATTTGTAATTTCAAACTGAATGTCTGAAGTGAGTAGAAGTGCATGCTTTTGGGATCCTCTGGCGTCTGTCGTCCTTACCGAGGGTCTAAAATGGAGACGACTTAGGATTTGGAGAGAGTGACGTAAACTTTTCTCGAGTGCTCCTATTCACACGCAGTCTCGTTTCTTTTGCTCTGACGAAGCCTTCCGTTTTTAACTTTTAACTTATCAATTTTTTTACATTGGCGGAATATTAGTCCTTAACATTTCATTGTGCACTTTTAACTACTAAAACTGCATATTGCACGATAAAAGGTTGTTATAGAAAAATTGTGCAATGATAACCTGCGGTAAACGAACGATGAAACAAATGCATAGATAATTTGACCCACGGACCGCGTACATCATCCAGTTATATTACAGACGGTATAAATACGAATCAAGATTTCCCTATTACGATCGGACACCATTTACAACTCCATTTCTGGACTCACTCAAAGATTCCCATAAATTACGACGCACCTGTGTTCGTAAAAGCGATCCGCGGGATTAAGTAATAAAGACACCGATAAACTGACCCGGGCATCATAAATATCCTTTAACGTTATCCTGCTACTGGACGCGATCCGATTAAAAGGCTAAGTGTTTCAGAGTTACGACACTGGGTCGGTTGTGATGTGGAACAACGGGTTAGGTTTAAAAATAAACGAAATAATGTACTGCAGCGGGGAAAACAGATGTCGGTTTTCAGCCACGGGAATAGTGACTTCCAAATGCATGCGGCGCCTAAATATCATTTATCGTTCGGCCATTTTACCAACATCCTCTAACAACCAAGATTTCTCACTGTCGCCTTTCTTCTCTACGTTCAATCGTCTGTGAATTTCCAGATATTACAAACCCAAAATTGAAACAAGTACCATAAATAGATATCTAGGGACATAGGGTTGAGGGGACATAGGAGCTGCAAATCGGTGGACATAGGAAGGATCTAGGGATTGGGGACATAGGGTAGATTCATAGATTGAATTATAGATTTGGATGTGCAGAGTTTTGGAGATATAGGAGTTATGAGGATATTGGGATTGGGGATGTAGAGATTGGGGGATCTAGAGATCTAGGTTGGTGCATAGGTAGAATAATATGGAAATCTGGGGGTGTAGAATTCTCAGAATATAGAGATCTGGAGGTATAGAGTTCGGGGATGTAGAGATTGAGGGATCTAGAGATCTAGAGACACAGCGGTTGGCGCATAGGTAGAATAATATAGAAATCTGGGGGTGTAGAATTCTCAGAATATAGAGATCTGGAGGTATAGAGTTCGGGGATGTAGAGATTGAGGGATCTAGAGATCTAGAGACACAGCGGTTGGCGCATAGGTAGAATAATATAGAAATCTGGGGGTGTAGAATTCTCAGAATATAGAGATCTGGAGGTATAGAGTTCGGGGATGTAGAGATTGAGGGATCTAGAGATCTAGAGACACAGCGGTTGGCGCATAGGTAGAATAATATAGAAATCTGGGGGTGTAGAATTCTCAGAATATAGAGATCTGGAGGTATAGAGTTCGGGGATGTAGAGATTGAGGGATCTAGAGATCTAGAGACACAGCGGTTGGCGCATAGGTAGAATAATATAGAAATCTGGGGGTGTAGAATTCTCAGAATATAGAGATCTGGAGGTATAGAGATCGGGGATGTAGAAATTGAGGGATCTAGAGATCTAGAGACACAGCGGTTGGCGCATAGGTAGAATAATATGGAAATCTGGGGGTGTAGAATTCTCAGAATATAGAGATCTGAAGATATAGGAATCGGGGATGTAGAGAGTGAGGGATCTAGAGATCTAGACACAGCGGTTGGCGCATAGGTAGAATAATATGGCAATCTGGGGGTGTAGAATTCTCAGAATATAGAGATCGAGGGTTGTAAGTGATTTGGAAATTGTGATACAGGGATCTAGAGATCTAGGTACATTAGAGTCGATGTACACAGAGATCAGATAACGTACAAATTGGGGGATGTAGAGATCTCAAGGCATAGAGATCCACATACATATGAATCTACGTATTCAGTGATCTAGTGCCCCACTAATATATCTAAATACAATACCTACATCTGTAATAACTGTTATAGCAGAAGTTAGCAACGTATACAACATAGTTAAATTTGAAGCACCACAAAATTAGTCCGCCAAATTGTAGCCCTGACAAATTTGACTCTGTCGGTGAATGGGAAACGGTTACATACGAATTTGTCTTTTCGATAAATGATCTGAACGTCAGCATACAGCTGTAGGTAGCTTGATCAGAGGCACAAAGACTGTCACTGATACTACGGTATCACAATCCTACACCGACATTCTCGTTCAATTCCTTTGTCACGATAGGATATTGTAGCGGTTGTTCAGTTGTAACGGCACAACGAGCACGACGATTATAGTGTAATCGGCCTCTCTTACCTCATTACATTCTGAGAAAAGATCGTGCGATTTCTCGATGACAACCTGCTCCCATGCCGCAATTGTCCCTGCCCATAAACTATCAAAAGCATTATTCTATTGTTGTGTGAACCTGACAATGCGCTGCGTCAATGTGCTCGTAACTTATTTTTAAGACTTGTCGTTTTATTTTTAGACTACATTAAGTTTTCCTTACTTACTCTATTCAGTTAAAAAGTAAATGTAGCACACGCGAAAATGTTTAATAATGAAAATTTTATCGAGCGTGATATTTTTCAACGAAGTAAAGCTGTCACTTTGAGCCAGCGAGTTAATTTGAAATTCCGCAACAAAGTTCGAAAATTAGCCAGAAGATCCAGATCGTTTGCAGCGATTGCGTATCCGTAAAGGGGTCAATAATTATTTGCCCTCACGACATATCGGCACCGACGACGGCAACAGAAACGGAAACCGTGATTGCAGGTTGAAAATCCCTTTCCTTTCCGTGTGGCGTTTTTTTCCCTGGCAAAAAGTAGCGATTGCGTATCCATCGATCTCGCGGAAGCATCGTAATTGGCGCAACGGCGACAAACCTTTTCCCAGCCATCGAAAAGTTCGACGTTATTTTCGTGGCTAATTAGCCGCGTCGAGACTTTTAACTACGATATTCGATAGAACTGTCGCGGTTTTAATCGTCTCTGCCGGGTGGAAAAATGCGGAGGAAGAGGCACGATCTAACAGATTTATCGTTAGTTCACTCGTTCCTCGCTACTGACGTAACCCGATCGAGATGACTTTGAATCTGTAACTCGAATTATTTGAAAAAGTCGTTCGAAGTACGAGTCAATTGTTCGGCTAACAAAGGAATTAGCAATTCAATATGGTGCTTTATTAAAGCGGTGAACCATAATTAACACGTTGAGAGAAATGTCCGAAGTGGCTCCATTTTGTTTAACTATGAACGTGTAATGAAGATTACGGCGTAGAGGTTATGATCCTACAAGGAGCATCTCATGGATCAGCAAGCTCCTAATAAATTTCGAAACGAAAAAGTATGCAAATTTGATGAGTGGCAAACCGAATCGAGGCTGTACGAATCGTTAAGTGTTAAAACGCGAGATATTCGAACACCCAATTCCAGTAAAAAAATGAACGATAAAACGTGCTCCAGGCCGTAGAATATCGTTGAAAAGAACGCACGAGCCAATGTTACGCAACATTCGTGTAACAATATGAATAAACATTAACGATACAGAGTATCTCTATTAGATACACGAGGCCGGATAAAAAGCATTCTTTCAGCGGCAAAAAAACAAGTTTCACCAGCGTACATACAAATGGATGCGTGCTGATAAACGTGCTCGAATAATCGTTGTACCAGAATTCTACGAGATTTTGACTCTTTCGCTTTGGATTCGCGCGTGACGAGCAAAAGATAAACGCGCACGTAGATTTACTTGCGCTTGGAATCGCTCGAAAAGGAAGCGCAAAGGGCGCGTTTGAGGGTCACCGATGCTCGATGCACTTTGTCCGACACGATATCCTACTTCGCGAAATTGATTTATCGATTCGGGAAATTGATGCGTCGAGAAAAAGGGCCGTTCGAAATTCATCGCTGTTTTCCTAGATACATCGAACGCGACGTGTCAATTTCCCCATCACCGTAATATAATGCTAATTGCGCCCGCAGAAAAAATGTTGGACTATGCTTCTGCGATACTTTATGATCGCTTCGCGATCATGCTTTATAACCTTCGCGTTTATTACACATCTGTAATTTATATTTTACAAATCATTTCATTAATAACGAACGACACTTTGTAGCAGCGCCACGTTTCTATACGCCATTATAATTAATTGATGTATCAATCGACGATTAAAGTTCCTTTTTTTGTGTTGTGCTTTTGCAAGTCAAATATATACCGTCGTGTCATACGCGCTGCAAAAAAGATATTATATCATTGCTAAAAAATGATTTTACACTTTGAATTACTTTGTATCGTTTACGACGCGTTAAATGTTACGGTTTTTATATATATATGAATATACACAACATAACATTTGAACTTCCGCGTATCTAAGTGCAGTTCGCAACGCGTGCTGATAGAACTGGAGGAATTAGAAAATTTAATTTCTACAAATTTAGCGCTTGAAACGATTATAAGGTCTATTTTAAACCCCCATAGAATTTATTATCATAGGAAATTTCGAGCAGGAGTAAATTAGCACTGTCTATTAAGTACGTAGATACGTGACGATTCCCTCGAACCGTTCTCGTTTATTTCAAAACGTAGTCATATCTGAGGCATAACGCTCAATAATGCCATTATAATTATTATGTAACCGGCTGGCGATTAGATTGCGTCCATCAAATAGCATTATCATGGCGTTTATGCGCGATACTTTTGACGCGAAATAAAAATAACGCGTATCGCCGCGGTTTAGAATAATCATCCGGGTAATTTGATTTGGAGTTTGTCGAAAGACGTTACAATGTTGCACGATTACATCGCGTTGAGTCGCGGCTTACAGGTATCTCTGATTATTATTAGTCGGAGCACAGCCTGATAATCCATTCAGCGTCGATTATGCGAATCGATCATACAGATGTAAAAGAGATCGATAAATATGCTAATATATGCACGCTTCGATAACAAAGTCTGTCTTTGTGTATTCATTCGACTTTTTTCCCCCTTTTTTCTTAACCTCTTTTTACCACCGATCGTTATATAAAGAAATGTGACTGCCTTTTTTCAATTGAACCGACGAATGGACAGGTGACAAAGTCGAAGAGCGATACGCGTGCTGCACCGGAGAATCTCTGTTGATGAGGATGATAAAAAACGAACAATGAACTCCTGACATTTTTCTCGTACGTTACGCTCTTGAACTTAATCTTATCCGTAAGCGAGTGACGAGTAATTTATTGTGCAAACTTTATTTGTAGAAAGACTCTGATTGAACATATGGTGAAGATTTGCAGATAGACCCACATAATAATTATTGTTTTAACCTAGGAAGTGACGATACGAAGTTTAATTAAAAAGTGAAAGATTGAGTAATGTGTATAAGATCGCTGCAGCATTTAACGTGTTAATCTTTCAGCAACCCTCGCTCCCGAATAGTCCACACGAAAGGCGCTCAATTTGTTCAGCATCGTCTGGACAATGTTTCAACAGCGGGATTCTCTCAAACAACGGAAGAACGCAAAGAGTTAATGACACCCAGAGAACGGTGCCGTAATTTCTTCGACTTTCACCGATGTCACTGACAATCTCGTAATAGTCTTCTTCAATCTTCTACAAAAGTGGACACGCGTCAATTGTTACACGACTGATCTAACAGCGCAAACAGCTAATGCCTCGAGACATAACTAAGGAGATGAAAATGTAAATGATGGAATAATAGACTCGCATCATTGAGCTCTATAACATAGCACGTGTACGTGAGAGTTTGATGGTATAGTAATGACAACTACAGAGATATAATCGAGTGTCGGTGATAATTAAGTTGTTACGCGAGAATGCGTGCGAGAAAGCGACTATAAAAGGGAAATAGAACGACTGTTGAGTTATTGTTGTATTTATTAGATAATGTTTAATTTAACCTTTTCAAGGATAACGTTTAGTTTGTTTTTAAATTCATCGACGAAAGATCACATATGTGGATATTGCATATTATATGAGCTGTTTCATTTATAAGGAATCGTGGAAGTAAAACTGCGTTTTCGTTAATTTGTATGAATGATACGTGTAGGATCGTTTAAATCTTTCAATCGAGTGTGTTATAAATAATGAATTTGTCACGTGCTATCTTTATTGATTTATATGAGGATACATAGTAATAACTGTATGTTAGCGTACAGTATCGAGTATAGTAGATTTTTCTAAGGAAAATGGCGGCGTACTGGAAGGGCTCACTACACCTTGACTTTCGGTTAGTGAGTTTGGACTTCTAGAATTTCGGATTGATATTTTCTCTAGGAGAATTATACACGTTTCATCCCTTAAAATCGAAGGCAACCGATTCTCCTATCCACAATGAAAGTCCGTAATTAATCCAGTGTCCGTTACTCATTTAAGCCAATTTTGCTCCTGCTACGAAACTTGCAACTCATTGCGTTAGGCTCTATTTTCGGGATTCGTTATTGTTCCAACGTGTACACGCGTCGCAACTTTCTTACTCTACCGACTGTTGGACGACATACGTATACTGTGGCAATTTCTATTCTAATATCGTTGCAAGCTCGTAGGTTAGTTTCGTAGGCTGGATAGAAGAGAGAAGGAGATGGAGAGAGAGAGGGAGAGATGGAAAGAGAGAGAGTGGCAGAGCCCGAGACTCGGGAATTCGCGACTCGTTTGTCTTCCTGGCACACCGAGAGCATTGTGTTCGCCTGGGACAATGTGACGTGGAACAATCGTGCCGCGTTTTATTCTGGGCAAAATTAGCTTAACTAACCCCGCAAGTGTTACCGTGTCCTCCTCTCGCATTCTCCCGGTCTACGCGACTGGAGAATCGTTCGCTGCTCGTTACTGCCACTTCTCGTGAAATTTTACAGATATTTATAGACGCGAACCGAGTTAATTTGTATCTGTTCGCGGCCGCGAGAAAGCCCGATTGCCCTGGCTCGTCGGAGCACCGTGAGCCGTATGATTGATGCCGCGATACAATAAAAACACGATTACGCTGATTTTAATTACCGTCCCGTTGAAAGATTTATCCCGGTCGCGACTCTTTAGTACGATACCATCGCCAACCCCTCTCGCGAGCTACCTCTGTTTATGCAAACCGGAAACTTTACCCTTTGATGTCGAAATGGAGCTGATTTTACGCCGAGCGTTTCGGGAACGGCCACTTGAAATCTTGAAAAGCGTTGTCTACCTGCGGCTTTCGCTCGAGATACGGACATTTCGAATCTACCTTCTTGGTGAATCATTACGGACATCTGGTCAAATCCCACCAAAACTTTTCCTTTCAATTTTTCACGTGTCAACGAATTGCCTTCGAACTGTCAATATTAAATTGTTCCCTCATATTTTTTAAAAGAAATTCGACGGCAAATCTTACTCTTATGACTACATTTGTATTATACAACCTAACAACTTTTATATAATTTATAAGATGCTTATCTTGTATCACACATTTTTTGTGCTTCTATAATTCCTGCAACTGTTTGTGACTTCTACAACTGTTATTTTATCTTCTACTTTTACAGTTTGACAGTTTTGACATTTTCATATTTCCAAAATTCGAAAGCCACAAAATTTATAGATTTCTAAATATCCGAATTACTAGGCCTACATGTATATCTAAAGATCTAAAGAAATCTCTAAAATTCAACGAGTACGAGGTTTCTTCTCTTTCAGATTCAGTTTTCATTCCCCTAGAGAAGCCAGATCTCGACTGCGTATCCCCCTTTCGGTTCAAGTGTCATACTTTTAAACAAATAGCGTTGCAACCCTCTGCGACAGATCGAAAGAAACATAGCTTCCTGCGGATGCAGGATAATCCAGTTCAATCACGTTTCAGACTTTCTCAGGATTCGTGTCCCAGGCCGGTCGAGAGAGGTTCGAGACAGAGGATCGGTAGACCGTCAAGTGGTCGCAGGCAAGAAAGGAAGACGAATTCATCCGGGATTTGGAAGAGGGTCGCAGAGGACATAGGAGAAGTCGGGACAGGAAAGAGCGGAGTAAACGGAAAGCGATGGAAGAGGGAAGAGACGAAGGGGCCAGGCAACAGGGAGGGTCACTGGGTCAGATGCATCGCTCGCTCCCTCTCTTTCTCTGCCACCCTCTTTCGTCGCGGCTCTTTCCCTCGCTCGCTAATTCCCTTTCTCCGTTCATCTTCCGATCCGTCACTCTCTCTGCCGATCTCCTTCTCTTTCGCGTCCTCTCCCGGAACACATGGCCCTGCTACACGGCTGTCTGGCGGTTGCGGAACACACGCATACGCGTGCACGTCTGGACGTCTCGTCGGTGACGTTATCGCGTGGATTAGGCCGCGTGCTCTTTGGCTACGATCTATCTATCGGTTCGCACGGAGGTTTCGCGAATCGAGGGGAATCGGCGGAATACGACACGGGCACACCAACGGTGGTCACGTGTTCGCGCGTCCCACTCACCTGCCAAGCGTGCTCATATCATCCTGCTCGCGCGCTGGTAGCCTCGACTACCCTTCGACGCTTCTCCTGCCACTTGTCACGCAATTACGATATTACACCCCCGCACAGAACCGGCACTTGAACGAAAGCAACGATCCGAGGCTGTCAGGACTCGTCGCGGACACGGTCACTCGTGCAGGCAGGTTCGATCCACTGGAAAGCCGGCTGCTCGCGAAACTCGAACAACTTCGAAAGGATCGTAACACCGCCTCGTTCCCCGGATCTACGTCATGGTTCCCATCGTCTCACTCGCGGAAGGTACACCCTCTCGGCTGGTCGACGGTCAGCGCGCGCGAAGCACAGGTAGAAAGGACGACGCGGCTCGTAGGACGGGTATCGCGACGCCGACGCTCGGTATCGCGGTACGACACTATCGCGGGTCTGGAACGCGCGTTCTCGCGCCACTCTGGAACGCGTCGAGCCTCGAAGCGACAGCGGTAGGCCGCGAGGGCGAGGAATCGGGCTGAGCGAGAGCGAGAGAGGAAACGAGTGTCAGCGGTGGAAGGAGCCCCCCCTCGAGCAGCGGGCATACAATGGGAATAATCACCGCGTCTCGGAGCGTCGGCTGACTGACTGAAGCCCCCGAGGACCGAACGGGATGAGATTCGGAGGCGCTGCCTAGCGGCCGTCCCTCTCTTTCTCTGCCACCCTCTTTCGTCGCGGCTCTTTCCCTCGCTCGCTAATTCCCTTTCTCCGTTCATCTTCCGATCCGTCACTCTCTCTGCCGATCTCCTTCTCTTTCGCGTCCTCTCCCGGAACACATGGCCCTGCTACACGGCTGTCTGGCGGTTGCGGAACACACGCATACGCGTGCACGTCTGGACGTCTCGTCGGTGACGTTATCGCGTGGATTAGGCCGCGTGCTCTTTGGCTACGATCTATCTATCGGTTCGCACGGAGGTTTCGCGAATCGAGGGGAATCGGCGGAATACGACACGGGCACACCAACGGTGGTCACGTGTTCGCGCGTCCCACTCACCTGCCAAGCGTGCTCATATCATCCTGCTCGCGCGCTGGTAGCCTCGACTACCCTTCGACGCTTCTCCTGCCACTTGTCACGCAATTACGATATTACACCCCCGCACAGAACCGGCACTTGAACGAAAGCAACGATCCGAGGCTGTCAGGACTCGTCGCGGACACGGTCACTCGTGCAGGCAGGTTCGATCCACTGGAAAGCCGGCTGCTCGCGAAACTCGAACAACTTCGAAAGGATCGTAACACCGCCTCGTTCCCCGGATCTACGTCATGGTTCCCATCGTCTCACTCGCGGAAGGTACACCCTCTCGGCTGGTCGACGGTCAGCGCGCGCGAAGCACAGGTAGAAAGGACGACGCGGCTCGTAGGACGGGTATCGCGACGCCGACGCTCGGTATCGCGGTACGACACTATCGCGGGTCTGGAACGCGCGTTCTCGCGCCACTCTGGAACGCGTCGAGCCTCGAAGCGACAGCGGTAGGCCGCGAGGGCGAGGAATCGGGCTGAGCGAGAGCGAGAGAGGAAACGAGTGTCAGCGGTGGAAGGAGCCCCCCCTCGAGCAGCGGGCATACAATGGGAATAATCACCGCGTCTCGGAGCGTCGGCTGACTGACTGAAGCCCCCGAGGACCGAACGGGATGAGATTCGGAGGCGCTGCCTAGCGGCCG